CCACACAAGCCTGTGCAGGACATTTCACATCCTCAGCCACACAAGCCTGTGCAGGACATTTCACGTCCTCAGCCACACAAGCCTGTGCAGGACATTTCACGTCCAAAGCAGAACAGGGTAGCTATGGCCTGTGGAAGAGCAGTTGGCCAATCTTGGTGCATTTTCACTGGTTCCAGGCAAATGACATCTATGGGAGGTTTTGCCTGTTGGCTGGTTTGTCAAATAGCAGAACCTCTTTCAGCATCTCCTTTGGCTGGCTGGGGGCCATTCCGATGCCTTTAAGCATTGGTTGGAACACTTTTACATGTCAGGGGTTCAGCCACATGGACCTCAAACCTAAAGATTTGGGGGTCAGACTTCCTCGGGAATACATATGGAAGAGACAGGTGGTGTGTGGTGAAGTTCACGGGCACAGAATAAGCACGATGGAGTCAAGAGGACTTACCTGATAAGCTGAGGAGAGAGAAGAGCAGCAGCAAGCCGAGGCTGAGGTGCAGGGTCCCCGCCGCATTGCAGTCTACTTTGGAGTTCTTGCAAGAGCACACCTGCACCCTGAGGTCTGTGATGTTCGTCATTGGTGGCTTCCCTGAATCTGTCACCATGATGGGCAGATTGTAGTTGGCTTTGTTCAGATTCTGAAGAAGGCTCACAAGGGCGTGGGTGTCTGGAAGACAGGAAGTCCGTGTGAGAGAGGAGAAGCCCTCTGCTGGAGGCAGAGTGAGGTTCTGGGGCCTTGGCGTGCACAGAAGTCACTGTGTGCAAATAACTTACAGTTATAGGTGTGTTAGAATGAAATCGATTAACCTTGAGTAAAACACACTCAGTTCCTCAGTGGCAGTAGCCACATTTCACACAATCAATGGCAACAGGCTGCATGGGATGAATGATTCAGAGACACTTTCTGTGGTTTGGTGCTGTAACAACAGACTCCAGATTTTCTTAAATAGAAATTTTTGTGCTCAATTGTCCAATACAGTTTCACCCCCCACCACTGCCCCATTCTATCACTGGTGCAAAAGTGGACTCTGAAGGTATTTACAGCAGGATACGTTCATTACTGAAGACAAGGCTAGCTCAGGTCCTGCTAGGGAGGGAAGTGGGGGGGACAACCAGGAAGGAAGAGTGCTTGATAATTAGTAAGGCTGGTTGGTGATCAATGTTGGGTCACATTTTCAATTCTACCCACCCATGTGGAAAGGCGGGGAGAATGAGAGATTGCTTGTGACAGTCATCTTGAGAGAGGGGTGCATGGCAATAGTGTCAAAGCTAAGGATGAAAGCCAAGGTCGGCAAGGCGGAGTCAAGCAGGGGGAGGTCTGCAACAAGCAATGGAGCCTGGGGGCTTGACAAACTTCCCAAGACACCATGCTCCTCTTTTCCTTAGCCCCTAACGAGAGGAGGTGGGCCAGCGACCTTCTTGCAAAGTGCTACTGAATGTCAGCGGCTCCCATCTCATTGAGAAAATGGAACCAGGAGAGGCCTGGGAAGCAGGAAGCCCCGACTTGCCACGGCTGAGACCGGGCTTTGGGCCTATGCTCAGCACCAGTCAGTTGCAAAGAAAGAATGTATGGGAGTTGACTGTTATGACACATGCCTGTAATCCCCAGAGAGGCTGAGGCAGGAGGATTGTCACAAGTTCAAGGCTAACTTGGGCTACATGGCAAGAACATTTCCTCAAGCTCTCTCAAGATTTATTTTGTTTTTATTTATGTGTATGTGTTTGCAGGTGCTCTCAGAGTTCAGAGAGGGGATCAGATCCCTTGAAGAAGCTGGAGTTACAGGTATTTGTGAGCCACCTAATGTAGGTGCTGGGAATAGAACTGGGGTCCTTTGCAAGAGCAGGAAGTACTTTTAATCAATAAGCCATTTCTCCAGTCCTGTGAGCATGTATGAATGTATGTATGCATGTATCTATCTATCTATCTATCTATCTATCTATCTATCTATCTATCTATCTATCTATCTATCTATCTATCTACCCATCCATCCATCCATCCATCCATCCATCCATCCATCCATCCATCCATCCATCCATCCACCTATCCATCTACTCCTGTGTTGTTTAAAGCAAAAAGGAAAGAGGAAGGACAAAGAACCAGCATCTCATTGGACACGCTAGTAAAAATGTAGGGGGCATTGAATGGCTGGGATCACAGTGGTCACTAGAGTGATGGCATGCTACCTAAGGTGAAAAAGAGAGAATGGAAGGAAACAGAAGGCAGAACAGCTGTGTTTGCACTGATAAGAAACTGCCATTCAGTATGTCTACAGATGGTTTTCTCACTCTGGTCAGAAAACTCAGCAACACACACACACACACACACACACACACACACACACACACACACACGTACACACACGCACACACACACACACACACACGCACACACACACACGCACACACACACAGAGTTTTCTCACTCTGGTCAGAAAACTCAGCAACACACACACACACATACACACACACACACACACACACACACACACACACACACACACACAC